CTTTCAAGCTAATGGAGAGTCTGACAGGATGCAAGAGAACTGGGCTATCAGTATGCCAACAATTACAAACCTAAGGTATAGGCCATTACAGAGTTGTAGACCTGCAGCATTTGAGTGCAGTGTCTGTGGCTTCTGAAGTTTGCTTCTTCACATTTCCTTTTTTTATTTTGTTGGGGTTTTTTTTTAATAATAAGAATTTGTACTGATGTCTTGTTTTTGGTTGCGTGGTTTGTTTGTTTTTTTAAATGGAATATAGCTATGAATTTAAAAACTTCTCTTATTTTTTAACTTCATTCTATAGGATGAAAAGCACTATAGTTATCTCAATGGTGTACTGTGATTTTGGTCATGTGTACTGCAGTGCTAACTTCAACGTGTTAAAACTAAAATGTGGTTACACTATATAATGGAAGAAATACTTAACATCTAAATATCAGCTTTCTGAAGCATCATCTGGGAGCTTCAGCTCCTGAGAATCCAGAATTAGAGGTACTTCGCTTGGAACTGGCAGAGATGAAACAAAAATATGAAGCTGTGCTGGAAGAAAACAAAACCCTGAAAAGCAAGGTAAAATCTGCTTGGTGTTACTCTGTAGTTCCATATCATACAGCAAAAAAATACTTTAATACTTAGAATACAACTTTCTTCCATTAGAGTAACTGATAAATGTTGCATTGTTTAGCGTTGTGGCTGAGAAATGCTGATAGAATTCATTGTAGTTAAGGTGGGGGTTTTTTTATGGGACGCTTCTTTTAGAATATAACACGTAATAATACTAAACTTGGGATTTTATTTATTCAGAGAAAGTCTGTGTTATCAAGTCTAATACACTCTCATTCAATCCTGTCTGGATGTGTTTGTCTGATATTATGTAGCTCATGCTTCCATGAGAGTTTTGAAAAACTCAGGTAATTTATCCATTATAAAAGTTTTCAAAAGGCAAACCGAAAGAGTAATGTTCTATATCACTTTGTCACTTGGCACAGAGGCGCACCCTTGCACATGGCAGGACGTCAGCAGTGGAGGATATTAGACCTACAGGGAACAATAATACATGCTTTTTTATCTAAAACAACCCTGGTATTTCTCTATGTGCAACAGCAGTGAGCCTGAAGTGCAGGCAAAGGCAGGGCCATTTTTTAATGGGTTTGCAGGCTGTCTGAAAGAGCTTGGAGGTGTGAACAGCTTCCTAAAAACACTGAAGAAAGAAAGCTTTGAGGTGCTTAATACTCCAGTAGCTTACATGCCGCTGCAAGTTTATGTGCATCTGTTGGAAATGGATGGTGGCTGTTATATGTGAATATAACATTTTTTTACTAGGAGACAGCCACCCCACTTAAGGTCTGGGAGAAGGAATTGTTGGGCATTACCCCTTTGTATTTCTTGTCTGGAGTACCCTCTTGCTGTTCCAATAATTCTCCTCCTCTTCTGTTACCCACTGTGACTTCTCACAGCTACATTTGTTATTTCTTCCTAGGAAATATGGCAAACAGCAGAATTTTAGGGGAGTAGCAATAGACCGGCAGTTCACTTGGTGTTGCAGACTTAAAAATGCAACCGATAGTAAGACAGACAGATGAGAGCAGAGTAATCTGAGTCTTTGTTTAAAGAATTCAAGACTTGTTCCAGGAAAGTAAGCCTTTCTGTAATCGTGGGTTCATTTGTGCTTTCATGTTATTCATCTTTCAAATGATAACTCTTACTTTACATATTTTCCAGTGTAAGTGTGGGTTTCTTTTCCCCTTTCTTTCTTCTACTGTGTAATGCCCATCATTCTGACATCCTGTAGAACTTCACACAGAATGCGGGGAGAACACTACTGTTTAGCTTTCTTTTAGCAATCCTCTAGCATAAAATATATGCCATTATCTGTGTGTTTATTGCTAACTTCTGTTGCAATCTGTCTCTTTCCTTACATTTGTTGCTCAGAATGTCAGGTATTTGTGTGTGTGTGCTGAGGGCAGGGAAAGGAAGTTGATAGTTAGGCTGTAGGTAGAAAACTGACTTTGGTTTGTGTACTAGCCATCTGTTGTAGTAAAACAAGAATGAAAAAATGCTATTTTTGCAGTTTTTATTAGCAGCAGAGTGATTGGTGCAATTTAGTGTTGCTATGAGGAAAGAACACGTGTATTTTAGCTTACTTTATGTACTTTTTTATTTTTAAGCCACTCTGCAATTTGCAAAGGGGAGGAATCTTAATTGAGTAAACTGAACTGGCATATCTCAGAGAGATGGTCCTTTTCAACTGTTTTTGAAGCTTGAGCTTTTCTTTAATGTCTCTGGGGTCAAGTGAACACCATATCTTTCCTTGGAAGTAACTTTATAAGTAAAGGTCATATTTAGTATAAGTGCATAGTTGCCCAAGCTATGCTCTCCAGAAAGCATAATGGAAGCTAGAATGACTACAGGAAATGTTAGTTTGGATACTGTTGCAATGAGAATAACTGTTTCATTTAATCATATTTTAGTGAAACCATAGCTTACAGGTCATCATTATGAACTGCTATCTAAGATGTGAAGTACTTAATGAGTCCTAGAACAAGAAGCGGTGAAAAATTAAGGGCAAGATCTATGTGCTTTTAAAGGCCCCCTTGTTATGGCTGCGTGGTTATACAGTGTGTCAAATGGATGTTTTGAGAGAAGGGTTACTTTGTTTCCTCACTTGAAAATGGACTTGAATGAAGATGAGTGTGTTCAAGTGCACAAAGTAAATGGAGCAAGTCCAGACCAAACATTTTCTTACATGTCTTAATATAGCGCGTTATATGAAATGTTGCAACTAACTAAATTCCTTTCTTTAAATCCACAGCTGGCTCAGTATGAACCACCTCAAGATGAGAAGCATGATGAATAACAGTAGTTTCTCCTTTAATGCCTTGACTAAATAAAGGGCTTCCTGAGAACTCTGGTCTTTATTGTGTGTGTGTAAACTCTGCATTGTCTACTTTGTTACTTCATCATCTTAAAGAAAGAAAGTGCAGTATCATGAGCATGCAGCTACAGCAGCAATTGATGAGTTAAGCATACTGGCCAACTTTCTGTGTTTAAGAAAAGATGACAGTTACGATGAACTTCTAGACAACTGTGTCTGCCAACTTTGTGTAATTTTCACATCATAGTCAATGGCCCTGTTTGAACTGCTGATCTCGGTTTTCTTTCAACTGAAGGGGGTGACATGGCACAGATGGCCTAACTGTAAGCCAAAGCAGGACCTTCAAGTTACATTCAGTGTTGCTAAATGCTGAAGATGCAGTACCTACTGAACTTTTACTGCAATTTGTATGAGGTGTACCTATTTCCATGCAGTTCATGTCTCCAATCCTGTCTCAGAAACTGGGCCTTGGGAAGTTTATCTAGATAACGACCTGGACAGTTCTGAACATAATACAAAAATCTTACTTTTAATGAAAGTCCTGTGTAATTACAGTGACACGTGTAAGAGTACAATGGGGAGAGTTCTGCTTTCTTATTCATTTAACTGTGAAAAGAAAATTTAGGCAGGGTAAAAAATCCAAGTAGAGTAGGCTGTAAGTATGACTTGTGATTTTTAATTTGGCTTATGTTCTGTCTCCCATCTCCCTGAATTTGCTTCAGGACTCTTCTGAAATGCAAAGTAGACCTTTATTAAAAAAAAAGAGGTACATTTTAAAGAGCTGCATTTTTTTCCAATCCTAAAACTAAGTACTTGAAAGGCTGCTGATGATAGGAAAAATAAAGGAAAGGGGAAATGAAGTTGTCCTATGTATTAGATTTGCTGGCTATTAGTTTTACTTCCTTATTTTTAGGATAAGTTTTGCAGATTGTCTTGCAGACGGAATAGGATGGATTGGAACTTTTGTTAATCTAATCAAGGGCTAATGAACATAATTATTGCTTACTTTACTACTGTATCTAATGTTGATCTAAACAGGCCAGAAGAGAGGTAAATGAGGGGAAAATACTGTTAAGTCTCTGAAGCATTAATTAGAAAAAACCTATTGTGAACCAACAAATCAAAGGAAAAAAAAAAAAAAAGGCAGGAAAAAATGTTCCAACCTCTGGAACAAAGGAGAGAGAAAGCTCACTTGTAAAATAGAACATATCCCTAGCATTAAGTTGCATCATGTGGAAATAAAGACAGGATAGTGCTATAGGAAATGTACAGTTGAACATGTTCTCTGAGTAATGGGACTGGCATGTCTTGTTAAAGAAGCAGCAAGATGGGTAAAGGTGTTAGTCGAGCCCATAAACAGGGCATGAAGGACTCTGGAGTTGAGATGTTGGGTACCAGGGCAGTAATGCAAACTTATATTTTTCATAACGGTATTAGTTCCCTTCTGAAAAGCAATTCGCTTCTTGCGAGTCTTAATTTAGGATTGTAATGAAACAACAGTAACGAGTTAGATAAAACGTCAGTTGAGCTGCCTGCTTGTACTGGGCTCTCAGTAGAAAATGGACTGACTGTTTATGTGAAGAACCTTGCTAAAATTAATGACTGTCTAAAGAAGAGCCTTGCTTTACAAGGTAACGTTTGCTTAGAGGGGGTGGCCTCCCCTACCCCTACTGAGAGCTGGTTTTACGCCTTAAGCGAAGCGGAACCTGCAGCCTGTCTCCACACCAGGGACAGGGCACGGCGGTGCTTCGTGTGGCTCCCTCGAGAGCGCGGCGAGTCCCTCCTGCCAGGTACCCTCCGGCTTTGCCCCGCCCGTGCTCTCCCGGTAGCCCGCCTTCCCCGCCCCCCGCGATCGCTCCTGCTCGTCGCGGGCCGTGCTCGCCCGGTGCGTCGCTCCCTCCCTCCGGCTCTGCCCGGGCCATGCTCGCCCGGTGCCCTCACCCCGCCTCTCCTGCTCACGTGCGGCAGCGCCGTCAGGTGACTCGGGTCGTCTGACCAGGGCCGTCCCACTTCGCCGCCTCTCTCGGGCCAATCGGCGGCGCGGGGCTTTGACAGCGGCCAATCCGTGCTGGGCTGGGCCGTGTCGGGCTGGGCCGGGCGAGCGGGAGGAAGCTTCGGGCCGGGCGCTGGCGGGCAGCGGGCTCAGGGCGGACATGGCGCTGCAGTTCGGCGGGGCGGGCGCGCCAGGCGCGGCTGAGGAACCGGCGTTGGTGGGGGGCAGCTTCGGGGCCGCGGACTCGTTCCCCAAGGACTTCGGCTACGGGGAGGAGGAGGAGGAGGAGGCGGAGCTGGAGGGAGGCCCAGGGCCCGGCGGGCCCGGCGGCGGCGCGGGTGGACCTGGCAGCGGCGCGGGCGGGGCGGACTCCAAGCCGCGGATCCTGCTTATGGGGCTGCGGCGCAGCGGGAAATCCTCCATCCAGAAGGTGAGGGGCCGCCGGCGGCTCCCCGCTTCCCCGCCCGAGTTGTGTCTCTCATTTGCTGTGCTGCTGTTCTGGGCATTCCTGCTTTTTATTGTGGGCCCAAGTGGCGAAGTTGAAACGACGGGAACCTCCTGCCTAAAGACGCTGGCTTTCCAGAACGGAGTCTGATCGCTTGCGCTAGAGAAAAAGGTCGTGTAGCATAGGTTGTAGCCTTTGCATTTCTTCACTTTTAACGCTTTAAAAGTCAACAAGTGAAGATGCTAGCGTGAAGTTTGTCGTGAGGTGTTTCTTACAGCTGTGAAAGCACTGTGAGAGGTACGGGTGTGCGGTGGTTAGCGTGCTTCCACTTGAAAGAGCTTTGTTTTGCCTTTTGATGCTTTGAAAGAGACTTCTGCTTTTGTATAAACAGGACAGACTCTGGTTCTCTCTAGTTACACTAGGCCGAGTAAACGAGACTCAAGGAGGAAATGCCTTAGGAGTTTCAATGCCTTAGGTTTGTTGGTAGCTTTGTGAAGTCACTAGTGTTTCTTAATAAAAGTAAGATAAATTTTCATTTGCCACATAGCTCAACAGAACTGTAGTGTTAAGAATGATCCTTGTTCCTCAGTGCAAATTTTATGTTCGTGCTCCCAGCTGTGAAGTTTTCAGTGGTATTTTTATGGGAAGATGTTACTAGTGAAATGCGTGGTTCTCAAGCTCTAGGCTTAGGGGCCTCGAACTTGTTTCAAATGCAAGTGTGAAGACCTATCGAGATTTCTGTAAAGGCTTTGTGGAGGGAAGCTTTTTTTGGACATAGTGGTATAGCAGGTATGAATCTGCTTCTTTTTGCCATCTTATGCAGACTGCTTGATAATCCATACGCTGCAGTAAACCAATGAGTTCTAAACTGACTTCAGACTGTATGCGTTAGTGAGAAATTCTGAAATACAGTGGCAGACCAGGCTGTCATTGCTTTTTAGCCTTGTCAGTTATTCCTCATTATTTAGGTCAAATGATCTCACTGTATGTGCAAATGCAGTGATTTCACTGAAAGTCTTTTCTAAGTCTTTTTAGTCATGTGAACGGCACTGATTGTAGACTCTAATTAGAGATCTTATCGTGTTATCCGCTGTTGAAAAACCTCCCAAAAGCTAGAGGGAAGCAGCAACTCCAAATTGCAGACGGATTTTAAGACTTTTCAGGTGTCTTTATAGATGTACCTTTTGGACTTTTTTATGGCCAATGTTGATAGTCTTCAGTTCTCTGAGGACCTATTCAAGTAGCTGTATAGGAAAGGAATAGTGTGATGCTGAGTATGTAATAAGAGGACATAGGATTTATCTTTTGCCCATTGGTTACCGATCTGGCTTAGGAATTAGATAGAAGCTGTGATTCTGATCCCTAGGAGTTTGTTGTGATGCTACCTGAGTAAACTAACTGTGGCAATAATTTGAGACATTCTTGTAATATCAAGAAATTTCTTATCAACAGTGTTCCTGCTCTTAGATCTGTCTGGTTCCAAAATGTCCATAACCAGACCAACCCTTCTGTCTGGGTACTGCTTGTTGATCACCTTGCCAGGAAACAGGGATATGCAAGATAAACACTGTATCAGGGAAAGTATTGGCTTTGTGATTGTCTAGAAATTTCTCTGAAAAACATGAATTATTAAACCATTCTAACCTTCCACTGAGAGCAATATTAACAGGACACCTCTTGCAAAAAAAAAAAAAATTATGGTCCTGTGGAGGAACTCTTTTTTGTTTGGTCAGTTGGGTTTTCCATATTGAAATAACCTCCGAATACTCAGCAGCAAACTGAGGGTAATAGATTTGGGGAGTATGATGATTGCTTTGGTTCATAACAAAAATTTTTGTGCAGACTTGCATAAATGGACTTACTGTACTGTCCCTGTGTAATATGAACCTGGAAAGAGTTCGGATGGGGGACACCAGTCTGCTGAAATGTGCTGCTTTAGGAAGAAGAGAAAATGGAAATGATGGTTTTGCTTCCCAGAGACTTATCAGCTTTAAACCGAATTTACTAATTCTGTCCCGCTTCTGTGGGAGATGCTGAGTTCCAAAAGAAATTTTGATTTCAGAATGCTTTAAAACTATGCTGCAAACTATGCTGAGGAATGCAGTACAGTCTCTGTGTATCTAGAACTGTTCTTACTTTTCCATCCAAATGTTCTGCTGTTTAAAACCCCATTAAGACCATGGCCTCCTAAACGTTCTCTTAGGCTTAAAAATCTAGGCTGACATATTACTTTGAACCTCACTAAACAATCCATTAACTATACTGGGTGTAGAGCTGTTTGTCTTTCAGGTTTTTTTGACAGTTTGTTGCATCAGGTTTCTAATGGATGACTTCTGTAATTGTATGAAACATCTGATAAAAACAGAATTACCAAGTGCTGTACAGGAAATATCTTTCTTTTGCAGTCCTAGTGTTTGACCACATTATGTTTGGAATAACTTTCATATTATGTAGTTGAGTTGCTTTAGAACAGTGTTCAGTGTTGACACTGACTGCTTTAGTTTTTTTAGGGGAGTTTCACAGAAGTTCCACCTGAGCATGAGGAAGAACTTCTTTACTGTAGAGGTGACTGAAGCCCTGGAACAGGCTGCCCAGTGAGATTGTGGAGTCTCCCTCACTGGAGTTACTCAAGAACCATCTGGACATAATCCTGTGTAATGTGCTCTGGAATGACCCTGCTTGAAAAGGGAGGTTGGCCCAGATGATCCCACTGTGTTCCCTTCCAACCACACCCATTCTGTGATTCTAATTAAAAGGAGAGGGTCAGCAAACTTAACTCAGTTGTTAATAGATGGCACACTACCTAGCTATTCAGGTCTCTAAAACAGATGTTATTTTTGTACACTTCTATTGTAGTTTAGGAACCATCTGATTATGTTGTGTTATAACACTTGTGTTATAACACACCAGACTAAAAGCGAAGCTTCCTTTAGGAATTTCTAAGATTATAAGGGAAAGGTTCTTAAAAACTTGCAGTTGCTTAATTAACACATTTACTTCATACCAGATAAGAGTATAATAGAATTTGAACATGCTGTGTTAGACTTGCAAGGAAGAAAGAGTAACTGGGATATCTGTGTCTTTAGCCATTGGACTTGTGAAAATGTTTAACTGTATTCTGTTGCTTGGTTTGGGTTCGGGGGGTAGGTCATTTCCTTAGCTGAACCTATTTGTAAGATTTAAGTCACAAAACTTTCACCTATTTCTTCTAATAAGGTAAAGTCTAGACTATTATTTGTGTTCTTTTAACAGGTGGTGTTTCACAAAATGTCTCCCAATGAGACACTGTTCTTGGAAAGTACCAACAAAATCTACAAAGATGATATTTCCAACAGTTCGTTTGTGAATTTCCAAATATGGGATTTTCCTGGACAGATGGATTTTTTTGATCCAACATTTGACTATGAGATGATCTTCAGAGGAACGGGTGCTCTAATATATGTTATTGATGCCCAGGTAAATACAAGTCACTAAGAATCACAAGGAAGTTTTATTTTTACTTTTTGTGTGAGAGGAGTTTAATGAGAAGCTAGTAATTCATATTTTTAGATATGTTCATAAAACATCTGCTACATATGAAGGGATGCATTGGCAATATGACTTTTGGTGTGTGGTTTTATTTTTGTGAAGTGACTGGAACATATGCTGCTGGTGGAGAGAGGGGAAAGGGGCTGGTACTCTGAAATTACCTGCAGTAATAGTGAGAACCTGCTCTGCTAGGTGGATGGAATTATCCCTTGCTTCTGCTGTGGAGTTCGTTTAATAATAGCACACTTCTGACCTCAGTTTGTAGTACTGATACTACAGGATATCTGGCAGTTTTTAATAAACCTAGAAATTGCACCATGGGAGATCACTGCTTGCCTATTGCTGGAGCTGAAATGTAACCCATCTTTTGCTCTGAAGTCTAGTTTTGTGTAGCTGAGCCTGGGATAGCTAATGAAACTTAATTGACATAACAGAATCTAAGCTGCTTGGATTTCTCACACTTCAGGGTATTCTCTCTCTCCTCCCAGACTTCTTATTAGTTACAGAATTGAAATTCTTGCACTGAAATATTTTGTTCTTGTGCAGAATGTAATAGTTATCAGGGAGAAAGCTTTATCATTGATTCCTACCAAAACTGATTTACAGGATGACTACATGGAAGCTTTAACTAGACTGCACATTACAGTTTCAAAAGCCTACAAGGTCAACCCGGAAATGAACTTTGAAGTTTTTATTCATAAAGTTGATGGTTTATCAGATGACCATAAAATAGAAACTCAGAGGGATATTCATCAGAGGGCTAATGATGATCTTACGGATGCTGGGCTTGAAAAACTTCACCTTAGGTGAGTTAAAGACTCTGGCATATGTGATTCTGCTGTTGCTGATATGCATACAGATTAATGGCTTTTAGATGTGATACTTGACTGACTGGAGTGAGGTCTGATTACTTTCTTATTTTTTAACAAGACTTTGCTAAATAAATACACCGCTGAATTTATGGACATGCTTTAGCTGTTAGACTGACTAAAATAAGGCAGGCTACTGCATCAGATGTCAGTGAACAGATTATTCATAAACTCGATGATAATTCAAGGCCCTTCTCAGTTAGCCTAACAGGCCAAATTTGTACCTGTGGCCTGTAGGGGCAGGGAAGGGAGAGGGGGGAGTGTCTCTGCCTTCTAGTCCTGGGTAGCACTGACTTCTCAGCAATTGGTTTAAAAGCTTAGTCTGTTACTTGAGATTTGGCTCACTTATAAGGTATCTTCTATAGACACCTTTAAAACGAGCCATCTTTTCTGTGGATTTACTGCTATTTTGGTTCTTGTGGAGCACTTGGTGCTACTTTGGTTCTTGTGGATACTCTTGTGGAGTATCTTGATGTTAGTGTGAACAAAGTGGAAGGCCAGGAACAGGACTTGAAGAAACCAAATTGAGCATTATTTATACCATTGTAATAAGCATTCTGTAGGCAAAGTGTGTTGTGAAAGAATGTTCAAATTTTTATCCTTGGTCTCCCATCTCTAAGGGATGGGGGAAATCTGTTTCATGGTTACTCCAGCCACTCAGAAATTAGGTTCTTTGTGCATTGGTCGGACATATTTGTGATAAAGGCGTACCAGCCAAGGCATCAGTCCTGAATGTTAGAAAACATACCTTTAACATTTCTATTGCAATTCTGAAATATTCTTGAATCTTCTTTTTCTTTTTTTTTTTTTTCCTTCCGTTGCCCTCCCTCCTCATCTCAGCTTTTATTTGACCAGTATCTATGACCATTCAATATTTGAAGCCTTCAGTAAAGTGGTACAGAAGCTCATTCCACAACTACCAACCCTGGAAAACCTACTTAATATCTTTATATCAGTAAGTGTTAATCTAACAGAACTTTGAGTGAAATATGCGGAATAGTAAAGCAAGTCCTACCAAGGAACGCTGGCTAGATCTACCCTTGGGAGATTTGGGTGGCACTCATGTGGGTATACTCTGCTGACCTGGATGTCTATGTTAGAAGCTCTCTACCACAGCTAAATTGTACTGGTGCGTGCTCTGTGGGAGTTTCTCTAGATGTTGACAAAGCATAGTTTGACTGCTTATAACACTTCTTAGGGAAGTTTCCTACAGGATATACTGATTAGTTTGCTAAGGGACTTAGTAGTCTAATGTAGCAACAGATACATTTGGTAATATGAACTTGGCCTTAAACTAAACTGTCTGTTTCATATTGCCTGTGAGACTCTTCATTTATTCTTTTAGTGTTTGCATTTCTTATAAAATTTGTGATATAGAAATTTGCTGCTGTATACTTTAAATCAAATAAAATATCACCCTCAAGACAAGACTGTTTCATTTAAATCATGTCTGTTGCAGGCATGTGGCCAACATGGAAAAAAACAGTTATGACTGAGAGGAGCTGTGTGCTCAGACATGTTACCCCATGCTACCCTATAATGCTTGTTTGCTAAGTTTGGTAGAGGACTGGCCCAGTGGATAAAGGGCATGCTCACTTTGATCAGTGCCATGAGGGTATGGAGTGTGATCTTGATGCCAAAAGGATTGTCTGGATGTCCTCAGGACACTGTCTTTGGTACTGACACTAGCTAGAAAGAAGAGAGAAGGAATGATTCTGCGTGCATAAATAGAAAAGAACCTTTACCAGTAGTGTACATGTGGTAACTTGGTGAACTACAAAAGACTTCTGAACTTAGTACGAGCACATGCACTTTGCTAAAGTGCTCAGTTACAAATGTCTTGGTGATTTTCGTGCCCATAACTGCCGTAATGTGGTACTCTTCATGGATTTTGAAGTTCAGAAGCTGACTTAGTTGCTCTGAACGTTAAACTATGTGGCAACTGCCTCACACACAAACTGAACTGCCAAGATACTACAAGCATAAAACTTAAATGTCAGCATACTACTATGAAATATCTCAGATGCCAGTCCGTTAGGTCGATGTGAATGTATGGCTCTTCTGGAATTAACAGAACCGCAGAAGAGGTAAACTGCTGAATGTGGGTTCTGGAAGCATAATAAAATGTAACCTGAATTATGATCTGTTAAATAATAAGCTAAAAAGAATTACACAAGAGTCCCCAGTTTTATTTTTGTCAACTATGTAATGTTCATATGTACTATGGGAACAAGGGTATTGTATTTATAAACTATATGCTCTAAATCTTCAATCTGTCTTAAGTCTCTAAATTGCTTATGTTTAAACCATTTTCTGCTATTAAGAATGTGAAAGTTATGAATTCTACTTGAGATTTTAAAAATTCATCCAAATTCTTTCTCTTTCTGAAGAATTCAGGCATTGAAAAAGCTTTTCTCTTCGATGTAGTCAGCAAAATCTACATTGCAACAGACAGTTCCCCTGTGGACATGCAGTCATATGAGTTGTGCTGTGACATGATTGATGTAGTGATAGATGTTTCCTGTATATATGGGTAAGTGATGAATACTCTTAGGAAAAGAAAAAAGTCCTCAAATTTGTAGAATAGGTTGCAAACTGTGCAAGTAGTGCTGGCTTTGTCATGCAACAAGATGCTATTGATTGGATTTGGCTGCTGAATCGAGCATTTCTACTCGGTTTGTTTCCCACCGCTCATGGCCCCAGACAGCTGTCTGACATTTGTTAAAGTTGTGTTTCATGTAAAATGTAAATAGTGCTGTATCTTGTTTGTCACGGTGGGTGCAAGTATGTTAATACCTGCAAATAACTGGGGTGGATAACATGCCGTGGCTTGTAACTGTAACTTGCAGTGATACTGCTTTGAGACTTGCTGCTATCTGAACGGAATGGCATATGTGACTTTCAGCGAGGGATGCCCATAGTGCTTATGTCTCACAATTTACAGCAGAATTATTCTTCACAATGTATTTTTGAAGTGGTTCTGGAGAAGCAGTAACTTTTTTTAGAACTGGGGTTATAGCCTAGAAAATACAGTGTTGCTAAGAAATACCTCAGCATTTAATGGTCTGTCTCCTGATAGGTCGATCTAGGGTTGTGTAGCTGTTTTGGGCTTTTTTGTTTTTTTTTCAAGAGTGCATAGAAGTAGTTTGCAATACATCATTTACTTCTATAGTGATTTAACTAGCACTAATAACTTGCAGATAGAAAGCAGCATGCTAATCTTGTCTTGTAAATGCAGGCTGGTTCAGCTTAAGACCAAAAAGTGTCCTGCTGCCTGTTGCACCCTCCAACCCAGCCTCACTAAGGAAGCCTTTGTATTAGTTCATCAAAATTAATTTCAGTGAGATGCCACTACACTGACGTCAAAAGAATGCATGCTGATAGCTTACTCTTAACTGCTTATCTAAGACAGACAGTATCTAATGAAGGCCTCTACTCTGTTTAGGTGTAGCTTTCCTGAGAAACTTAAGGTGTGATAATGGTCTTACTCAACGATAGTATTAAGACTTGCATTGCAGGTTCTCCACTTGCTCAACATTCAGTATGAGTAGTATTCTTCTAACTATATTTAACAGGTATTTGTCTTGAAGTTACATATGCATGCCTATTAGATTATGCCTTGGGTTAACTGTTCTTTTTTCAGGTTAAAAGAAGATGGCACTGGAAGTGCTTATGATAAAGAGTCAATGGCAATTATCAAGCTCAATAACACAACGGTCCTGTACTTAAAGGAAGTAACAAAATTTTTGGCATTAGTTTGCATTCTTAGAGAAGAGAGTTTTGAGCGCAAAGGTAAGGACTTCCCACCGCTGACAAACTTTTATCTAAGGTTTTTTGTCAACTACAAAATATTAGTATGAATTTACAAGTCACCTTGATTTTTGTGTAAGTAAATTCATATAATTTCTTTGAGGAGGAATTTTCTTATTTCTTAGAGATAGGAATAAGAGACCTTATTTTTAATTTTGTGAATCATCTCTTCAATTGCTGTCTTCCTGATGAAATTACTTGTGTAGCTAATGTGAGCTCTGTCACTACCATCTGCTCCACTGGAATCAGTAGAATGGAGTAATGATCTCCTTACCTATACACATTGCATTTGAAATTGATACCTTTTTTTAGAAAACTGTCTAAATAAATACTAGCATCAGTAAAACTTTGTTAAGTCTTTTGAGCCCAAGTTAATATAAAATAAGTAGGAAAATATCTATTGGTTAAATGTAACATTTTATATTGATTTTGAAGCTCTGTTTATGTAAATATGCCAACCTGAACACAGTTTTTCCTTTCCCTTCCCCCTCCTTATTGATAGGTTTGATAGACTACAATTTTCATTGCTTCCGCAAAGCCATTCATGAAGTCTTCGAAGTAGGTGTTGCCTCCCACAGAATCTGCAACTATCAATCAAGTACCTCAAATATGAAAGCAGTGACTCACAATGGCACACCTAGGAATGCAGTCTAGAGGAAAGCTAATGACCTTGGATAGACTTGTCAGCTCTTCACTCCAAAGTTTTGTGGAACAAGAGAAGAGTAGTCTGAAAGCCTGAAGTATGTTTCAGAGGAGAAGAGTGGTCCTCACTGTGGAACAGCAGCTTGTAACTGATGTTGGACAGCTGAAACTACTGTAAAAATACTTTGAGGCCAGTGGAGTTAGAAATGCTGGTTAAAACCAGCTCTGTTGCAAATGCAGTAGTTTTTCAGTTTGGAATCCTATTTTAACAGTCTGTCTCTGACTGATTGCCTGGTCAAAACTTAAAAACAATTGAGTTGAGTTTTTTGTGAAACACTGAATAGTCACTTGCTCAAATGCTTTTATTATTATTATTATTTTAAATTAATCTGTAGAATATCCACTTTTGCTTAAGTTTACCCTTTTGTCATGCAAAAGAAAAAATGTAATTAAGGCTTGTGAAACTCAGGCTTTTTGCTTGCTGAGGCTGGTCTCAAATCATTCCATTAAGTAGCTCTTGCTGGTGTGCTCATAATATTCTTGTGAATTCTGTGTTTCTTAAGTGGATGCAAGGTAGAGCTCTGTTCTAATGATTATGTGTTTGTTTAGAGAACTGACCTGGGGCTTCATTTTAAGAGATCGTGATACTTCTCTTTCAGACCACACTTCTTGGTATGTCCCCTTTGAGGGAAGGGAAGTATTAAAATCAGAAATAAACTACCTGCTCTCTTTTGCAAAAACATGGATGTCATAAATCTGTGTGATTAATCCTATTTATGAAACAACTGCATGGCTAGCTGAACTGAAATGTCTGCCATATATTGAAATAAAGCAACCACTTTCAGCTATTCCCAAGCAAAGAAAAATGACAAAGTTATTGACTTCTGATGGTGGATCTCTTTCCTCTCTGACTGATAATTAAGACAGTTCCTAGGAAAATGTCTGAGGGTGTTATCCATGCATGGCAATTAAGTATCGGTCTACCATAACCTACTAATAACACTGGACTTTGAAAGCATGTTGATTCTGTACTGAGACAAACACCTTCTTGTTTGTCACCAGGCAATCTGACTAGAACTGGTTTTTTCTGATTTTGTGAATGCTTACTTTCATACTATGGGCAGTATATCTGAATTCTTTAATTTATTGATATTGGTATTATTACAGTAGGTGTCATACTATACATCAACCTTGCTATGCAGTAAGCTCAACCACTGGCCCATAAAGATCTTGCCTCTCTTTACCCGTCCCTATGTGTGTATAGGTGTCGCAAAGCCATTGGACCAACTATACAAGTGCCACTATAAAATTTTGTGCAAGAAGAACTAACTGTAAGCAATCTCTGCAACTACTGTATTTATGTGGTCAGAAGTAACCATGGGAATGCTTCTGTGCTTATAGAAAGAACTTCAACTGAACTATGTAAAAATGAATATACATTAGGGTATATACACGTACTGAATAAATGGGGTTTTTTACAGCAGGAGACTTTGGAATTCAAGTGCTCTAGGTCAGTTCTCTTAAACCTAGGCTGAGCCCCTTTTTGTTAATGGAGCTGTAGAATTGGTTTTTTGAGGAGGTGCTGCAGGCTTATAAGATTGGGTTTTGTAGTTTGCAAGCACTGTCGCAGTGTTCTAATGCTAAAGGTAAGAGGAGAAGTTTTTGGCAAGATCACAGGAAGAATGAAATAATTCCCATTTGTGCAGTGAGTTTTCCATGTTCTAAGTACATGTGTGCATTCTCTTTGTTTTTGCCCACTACAGGATTTTGTGCTAATAAAATGAAAAACAAAAAAGGCACTATTGTTTCTGCTTGTCTTTATAGACAAAAGCCTATAAATGCCTGTATATTAAAGCAAATTTTTAAAAGCCATGTTATCTTTATGGTATATTTTAAAATAGTTAAATACCACATTCCCATGTGAGACTTTAAAAATTTTAGTCAAGCTTAACTTTCATCTCAATTAAAGCTGAATCCAAAATGAATATTTTCAGAAGATGACTCTGGATTTTAAAGGCATATAAATGATTACATGACTTGTCCTGTTCTTTTCATTAACGGTGAACCTTAGACTGTGTTCTGAAATTCTGCCTTCTGCTGTGCATGTTGTGGTGGCTTTCTGTATTTCAATTTGTTGCAGGGGTTTTTTTGTTTTGGGTTGGGAGTTTTTTGTCAGCATTACCTTACTTTGAAATGGTTGCATCTACTAAAGGTTAATTGTAGCAGGTCAAAACCGAATACTGTCATTTTCACTATTACCTGCACAATGTTAGCTTTAAAAGTTAAATTTGTCTTTAGTAAGGAGCACAGTGCTTCTTTAGTTTACTGGAACTAGTCTTCCTAATTAAGTCAGATGCTGCTATTTGAGTAGAGGGTTACTAATCTGTTGCTGCTTTAGTAAGGCAGTTTTTGGTTTCTGCTGAAATCTTTATGGTGCCACAGAGGAGGAAGGATAGGAGTTAGGTTTTATTTTCTTCCTTGTGCAGGGATTTGTTTCCCTTGCCTGTGCTGACCTGCTGCAGGGAGAGATCGTGGTAGAGACAAGGGGAGGCAATATCACAATCTCTCCAATACAAGAACTGAAACTATGAAGGAAACCATCAACTACTGCTTCACCTTTCTGCCTTGTTATTTTTCCCTTTTTCCACCTCTACACCTGTAGTGGTACAGATGCTCTGCAGTTTTTTTGCAAACAACTGAGGTTGCGTGGTTCTGAGGAGAAAAATGGTGCAGACAGGGGAGGACACAGGGAAAATGGTGGTCTGCCTGCTGGGAGAAGGAATGAAAATTTTGTTCTGTTGAAGAATAAAGCAAGCCCTTGCAAGGTACCTTTCAAAGCTGTATTGTCTGCCACTGAGAGTTACCAAGTTTCCTGTTGGGAATCCCACCAGCTGTAGCACAGGAGAGGGATGGAGGGGAAGGCCAAGCCTGGGGAGATGGGCAGAATAGTTAAAGATGGCATCTCTTTGAGGTCCTGAAGTGCCGTGGGTATTCAAGCGAGCGGGAAAGAACGACACATCTATGAGATGCAGATTCAAATCCGTTTTATTATCAGAAGGCTACTCAATATATAATCTTTTGAGTCCTGGACATGCGACCAGGAGCACAGCATGCTATTATGATTGGTCAGCACACACTGTCCATGCGCCTCAGACACATTCCTGGGAAAAGTTTCTGTTATCACCGTTTCTCACACATTGCTTTCTGCTGGCCTCTGCATTCCTGCAGCTGCAGACTTGTTCTTGTTTGACTAACGGTCAGCTCCTGGCCTTCTCAGAACCCAGCACAATCCTTTAAAACTGCCAAGACCCCAGCAATTCCCCCTTTCTGTTTAAGCATAGAATCAAAGCTACGAATAATACAATCCTGAAGACACCTAAAAACATACAGAATAATAAGTAATAAAACCAGAATGAAAACGAGTATAGATAGCCCTTGTTTAAGTATATCTTTTAGCCAACCTCTTACTCCCCAAGACGCCAGCCAGGCATCCAACCCCACAGATCCTTTTTTTACATGATGTATGCGTTCCTTAAGCTCTTGTAACTGTTTGTGTATGCTCTGTGAATGATCAGAGAGATTCATGCAACACATTCCTTCAAAATCCTGACACCCGTGCCCATGGGCTAAAAGCAGAAAATCAATGGCTGCTCTATTTTGTAAAATTGCATATCTTAAGCTATTTAAAAACACACGCGTAACCCCTTTTTGTATTTGTGCTAGGAAAATCGCCTGGGTCGTCCTTTGCAGGGCCCTTTGCAAACACGACACCAAACATGGCAACTTTAGTAGCACAACCACAAAATAGATAACAGAAGCAAACCTGTCTTGACCATAGACAAAAGCCATTCTGATAGTTCCCATGTACCAACAGACCATTTAGTCAATTTTGACCAGCATTAACCTGCAGCTCTTTGATTCTTGCTTCCAATCATTGAAGGCTAGCATGCAGCAACTTACCATAATAAAATCTATATAATACATCCTCTTAAAATCTTAACACTTATAAAGTCTTTAAGGTCACACACATAGACATCTACACAGCTTTTTTTTTTTTTTTTTCCACTCATACAGCTTTTTTCCAGTCATTCAGAAAGTGGCCACTTCAATCATCCTTCATTCACACATAGCTGGGATTTTTATTATAGTTTTGCATTTCAACCACAGATCTCAGATCCCAAGTATTACTGGCTGGGTGCTTCTCAGTCTGCCATCCGTGGTAGTCATGTTCAGCAACTCCACCTGTCCTGAAGAGGAATCAATACAAGGAACAAAAAAGCTTAACAAACCTATACAAGATCCATTTTTGATCCAGCACCTGTTCATGCACATGCATATTCTCCTTCCCCCTTTTTGTCTTGTTTTTGAAAATATGTTTGGTGTGTAAAACTCTCTTTTGACAATAATTTGTCCCATGAGTGAGATAACCCTGCTTTAGAATACCAAAAGTTATGCAGTATAACAGAAACAATGTTAGGTGAATTGAAAGAAGACAAGAAAATCATGTGTGTACATTTTAAACTCCCAACTGAAATTTACCTTAACCTGATGCTAGGAAGGGGAAAAGCAAAATTTGCAATTACAAAATCACAGTAACTAAGTAAATAACCAGGACCAATCATAGATCTCTCAAGCTTTTAACTATTCCTCAGTAAGTTCCACTTCTCTGTCAACTGTGACACTGTGACAAACTCAGTGAAAAGTACTACCAGCACTACCAGTCATGCACATGGAAGTTCTCTTCAAAGCTCCATTTTTTTTTTAAAGTTTTTTTTTTTTTTATTATTTTTTAATTTTTTTTTTTTTTTAATCAGCTGCAGTTTTAGCAGTTTTGTCACACTGCAACACTATAAGTGCCGAACCTTGCGTCTTCTAAGACATCCTCAACGCAGGCACCCCCCCCCTTTGTCTCAGCCCGTCTCCGGCACACACCACGGGGGGAATGGGGGGGGAGGGGGGAAACCGGGGTGGTTTCTATCGCGATCTGAGGCGGCTCCGGTCCCGGCCCTGGCTCCAGCTCGGCTCCGGCTGTGCTCTCCTGAGCCAGGCTACGGCGACACCAACGTATTAAATCTATCAGCACCGAATACGGCAGCTGAGCGTTAGTTTTTTCAGCCAAGTTTATTAAGCTATCAACAACTGCCTGTTCCACTGCTAAAGCAGTTAATTCCATCCTGCGTATCCCTGACTCACCAGGTCAGACCTTGCACGAATTCCGTCTTTCTTCGGACGCTCAGCTAAAATTCCGCTGACAGTAGCAGGACCCTCGCAAACTCCGCAGCTAGGCGCAATTCGACCCTCTCCCAACACATCACGTCGGGAGGTCACCATATGCCGTGGGTATTCAAGGGAGCGGGAAAGAACGACACATCTATGAGATGCAG